CCCGCGCCTCTGAGGCTTTGCTCTGGCAAAGCCTCAGAAGCGCGGGAACCCGCCCGGTGCCCCTGGTCTGCTGGAGACGGTCTCCAGCAGACCAGGGGCACCGGAGCAGCTTACCAACGGGGCTTTCTCGCCCCGACTTCCAGGGCGAGAAAGCCCCGTTCGTAAGTGCGGATCCGACGTAAGTCGGATCCGCGTAAGTCGGGGACTGCCTGTACTGACATCTCCAGAAAGAAATGGACATTTTATCCAGAGGGCAGCTATTGAACCCTTCACTAGAAACTGTGACAAAACCAAGAGAACAAAAATCTCTTGTCATTAAGAGAATGAGGAAGAGAGCTCATATGGCTCCAGTGCCAGATTCTACTAGATTATCAGGGGCTGCAACATCATATTCTAGTGAAAATCCTACAATGGCTGCTTTCGGAAATAAAGCTGTTACCATGAAATGCCATAGTCTGCAGCAGTCGATCAGCTACTTCTTGTGGAAATATTCCAGGCTCCTGCAAACATAGTGTTCCATCTTGCCTTTCTGTACAAAACTTCTCCAGGTGAGCAGTCAGAAAATTCAAGCAGATATCAAGTAAAGTATATGGAGATGCCTCCTCCTGTCATAAACAAAACACGACCAAATTAATGAGACAGTAGCGTTAAATATGAAATACTGACCATGAATGATCAAACCCATTTATAAACATAGTATTTTGTACAATTTTTTACATAGTAAGTTTGTACATAGTATTTTAGCACAATTCTCATCACTAGAGGAAAGGGTAGCATTACAAAATCTGAGGGGAACCCTATTACTAGGCATTCAATTTTAACTATTAAACTTCTCACTTTCCATCTGAAGAACAGCCTTTTAAATGTAATTAATACATTTAATTACTGATTAATTACAATTACTAATCCTACAGTAATTTAATGGAATATACTGCATTATTTTGATGATGATGTTTCCATACCTCCATTACAAACAAACGAAACATAGGATTTTAAAAACCCATTAAAGAAACACTGAGCTCCCACCATGAACTCTCTGGTACAGAGACTTTGCTTTTGTTGGATACTGATATATCATCTGCTAAAGCACAAAGCCAAAGTGCTGATTAGTTTATAATAGGGTGGATACAAATTGTTGTTTTTTTAAACAGGATAGATTTTTCTTTTTATAAATAAACCTATTTAAATTAAAATTTTGAAATAACTAATGTTAATGCCTATACATCATGCAACCTTAAAATCATTTAGATAAATAACAAAAATAATGCACTGGAATAATTAGTTCTTTTCAAATTTTTAATCAGTGTTGCTTTTGTAACAAACTCAGAAGAAAAACATCTTTAACTGTGAAAGTCAACTCAAATGTTATAAAATGTGTGTCACAGTTTCATGCACTTCATTTAATAGCTATAATTTTTTGACCTTTGATAGAGCAAACATTGACATTTCACAAATGCAAACACTTTCAATTTCTGTTTCAAAAGCTTTCGTTATTATACAAATGCTTTCATTACTATACAAAAACTTTTGCCTTCATCACTTTTAGCTTAGCAGCAGACCCAAAGGGAATATTAGTTTGAACAACCTCATCATTCAAAGTTAAGAAACTACTTGGCATCTGAGAAAGCTTATTATGGTTTTCCTTCTCCAATATATAAATAAAAAACAGGTGGGAGACAAGTAGATCTACTAATTCTAAAATTTTGAAGATTAGGTGCCAAAATATCTTTGAAACATCTTACTTAAAAATGCAGATAAGTCACTAATTATAGTTAATATTTCCTATGTTTAATAAATCATTTATTCTAAAAGAAAAATATATTGACAAATGTATTTCTTATATAACCGGCATCTTTAAGGCCGTTACATATAACTTAATAAAAATAATTAAAATATTTTTGTTCATTTTTAGTTGAATCCCAACTACCATCCAAATGCATCTTGACACAAAGAGTAGAAAATTATCTGTTAAATAAGAAGTGCATCATTAACCATTTCCTAATGTGGTAAAAATTAAAAATCTGTACAACGTATGTGGAGCGACATATATTTATATGCATTAAAGCAGTTAGTGTGTCCTCCTGATTAGCAAAAATATATTCAAAATGTAGAGTTAAGGCTATATTTAGATATGAGTCAACATGTTTAAATGGTTATACCAACCAATGAGAATAACATTGTCTTTACAAAAATAACTAAAAAGTATGCATGCAAAACAAGATTAAAATAAGTTTTAAATCAAGGTTTCTCAATGCTTATTTAAAATCAATCCATGCTGCTTCAAGCTTCCTAGAAATGAAGCGGTGAAACTTTAAAATAGCCTTCAAAGTAAGGAGCAACATTCTATTACAGTTGAACCTCTTTAATCCAGCCACCCGGGAAAATAAGATATGCTGATTAAAAATTTTATCAGACTAGGGAGGGCTCTGTGGTACCTTGGCAAGAGGAGGGTGGGGGTGGGACCCTTACCTAGTGTCCCATTCTCCAGGGCACACATGGACAGAGTTGGCAACTGGGTTTGTTGCAGGGAGTGATTCCTGGGTTAGTGTTTCTGTTGTGGGGTCTGCGGTTGGTATATGTTTTAGGTTAGGGGTCTGTCTGTAACACTAACCCAGGAACCAAACCCTGCAATAAAGTCCATTGCCAACTTTGTCCTCCCATGTACCCAAGTAACACCATCATAGGACCTTACCGCATCAGCCATTACCATCAAAGGCTCGTTCACTTGTACATCTATTAATGTAATACATGCCATCATGTGCAAGCAATGCCCCTCAACCATGTAGAGTGGACAAACTGAACCGTTTCTATACAACAGACTAAATGGACACAAATTAGACATCAAGAATGGTAACACACACACAAAAAAAGCTTAAACAATGAATAGTCTAGCAGCACACCTTAAAGACTAACAAAACATGTAGATAAAACAAAAGGAAAAACTATGTAGCACTTTAAAGACTAACATAGTGCTACATAGTTTTTCCTTTTGTTTTAGCAAGATCAGACTAACATGGCTACCTCTCTATTACAGCCGGTCCCCGAGTTATGGGCCAAACACTAGGCTGTAACTCAAAGTGTTCGTAACTCGGATCCCACTGAGTTACATGGCAACCGTGCTGTTCGTAAGCGTGGATCGCTTTTGTAACTCGGGGACCGCATTTACAACCGCTTTGGTCGTAAGTGCGGCTGGTCATAAGTGGAGGCAGTCGTAAGTCGGAGACTGGCTGTACTATTAAACATGTAGATGGTATCATGAGTTTTCGTGGGCAAAACCCACTTCTTCAGATGTAAGTTCACGATACCATCTACATGTTTTGTTAGCCTTTAAGGTGCTAGTAGGCTATTTGTTGTTTTTTAAGTTTTTCCTGTTACAGACCAACTCAGTTACCCCTCTGAACATGCAAGGCACTGCATTCAGCCATATGGAGTAGAAATCTATCAACTACACAAAGAAACTTGCGCAGATCCAAATAGACATTATCTTCCTTTCCAAGTGCAAATAGATGAACATCATACCTAAGGGACTAAGGATGAAAACCCCACTGCAATCTACGTATCCCACAGACTACAGCCAGAAATGATGCCATACTCTCGCTAAGAAACTCAGAAACCACCTTATCAGCATTCTATACAACAAGCAGAAGAAAATCAAGGAGGAGCTGTCAACACTAGAAACTGTCATAAAAAGTGGTAATCTGAAGAAGTGGGTTTTGCCCACGAAAGTTCATGATACTATCTGCATGTTTTGTTAGTCTTTAAGGTGCTACTAGACAATTTGTTTTTTTTTTAAGTTTTTCCTGTTACAGATTAACTTGGCTACCGCCTGAAGCTTCATTACAATAAATAACTGTCCCCTTCAAGTTGCCTCACCTTCGTATCCACAGCCACCCTGAATGAATAGCTCTGGTGTAACACTCCCATCTCTGTATCCCTTCCACCAGTGTTCCCTCTAAGCTACACAGCAGCACAGGTGATTAAATCAGCCCTGCCCAGTCAGCACTGAGCCATTAGCCACTGACTGGAGGGGGCTGATTAAATCTCCTGTGAAGCTGTGATGCCCAGAAGGCTTAAAGGGAACATTGCCTACTACCTGTTTCTTTTTTTCTTTCACTTCATGCATCTGATGAAGTAAGTTGCAATTCACAAAAGTTTATGCCATAATAAAACTGTTAGTCTTGAAGGTGTCACCACACTCCTTGTCGCTTTTGCTGAAACAGCCTAATAAGGCCACCTCTGTGAAACCTGTCAAGATTAAAACACACTAAAGAAGAGATGTTCTTTAACTGTGAAAGTCAGCTCTCACAGTTGGTGATGTTTTTCTTCTGAGTTTGTATGTATTTACAAAATCAACACTGATTAAAAATTTGAAACCTCATTATTCCAGCTCATTATTCCAAAGATGGGATCAAAAATGAAACTTTTTATACTCTTCTCGCAAACAGACAACATATTTTACCTTGTGTATTACCATGATACTAATTTAACTCTAAATTCCTTTTTTAAATCCAAAAGGAAACAGGAAACTTGGAAATGGCAGAGATGCTTAATGACTTCTTTGTTTTGGTCTTCACCGAGAAGACTGAAGGAATACCTAACATAGTGAATGCTTGTGGGAAGGGGGGAGGATTAGAAGATAAAATAAAAAGAACAAGTTAAAAATCACCTAGAAAAGTTAGATGCCTGCAAGTCACCAGGGCTTGATGAAATGCATCCTAGAATACTCAAAGAGATGATAGAGGAGGTATCTGAGCCTCTAGCTATCATCTTTGGAAAATCATGGGAGACAGGAGAGATTCCAGAAGACTGGAAAAGGGCAAATATAGTGCCCATTTATAAAAAGGGAAATAAGAACAACCCAGGAAACTACAGACCAGTTAGTTTAACTTCTGTGCCAGGGAAGATAATGGAGCAAGTAATTAAGGAAATCATCTGTAACCACTGGGAATGTGGCAAGGTAATAGGGAACAGCCAGCATGGATTTGTAAAGAACAAATCATGTCAAACCAATCTGATAGCTTTCTGTGATAGGATAACGAGTCTTGTGGATAAGGGAGACGCACGCAGTGGATGTGGTATACCTAGACTTTTGTAAGGCGTTTGATACAGTCTCGCATGATATTCTTATCAATAAGCTAGGCAAATACAACTTAGATGGGGCTACTATAAGGTGGGTGCATAACTGGCTGGATAACCGTAGTCAGAGAGTAGTTATTAGTGCTTCACAATCCTGCTGGAAAGACATAAGTGGGGTTCCGCAGGGGTCTGTTTTGGGGCTGTCTCTGTTCAATATCTTCATCAACAATTTAGATATTGGTATAGAAAGTACGCTTATTAAGTTTGCAGATGATACCAAGCTGGGAGGGGTTGCGATTAATCTGGAGGATAGGGTCATAATTCAAAATGACCTGGACAAATTGGAGAAATGGTCTGAGGTAAATAGGATGAAGTTTAATAAAGACAAATGAAAAGTGCTCCACTTAGGAAGCACATACAGAATGGGAAGCGACTGTCTAGGAAGGAGTATGGCAGAAAGGGATCTAGGGGTTATGGTGGACCACAAGCTGAATATGAGTCAGCA